CGACAAATCGATACATTATAAAGATCAATAAAGGACTTTAACAATACAAATTACAGACAACGACACCTGATATTGTTTTGAATGATAGAGGAGAAATCACTTATTGTTGTTTATGACAATTCAAGTTTAATTAACAAATTTGGTAAACCAAATGCTGGTATAATGCTATTATGTCTGTTGTGCTGAGTTACCATTTCTTACTTTTTCTATCTGTTTGGTTACTTTGATTAAACTACAAAGACGATATTATTTCATTTTCCATAAAAAAAACCAAGTCATATGTATATTAATTATATGGTACTTATTTATTTTCACAGATCGACTACTTCTGATTTAGACAAAGTAATGGGTAAGCCTAAACTATCCTACTCCGATTTATGAGGAGAATTAGACAGGTAACTTGACAATCGAAGTCTGCTTGGGGCACATGAAGGAGACTACAGCTGTTGGTCTTCATTTTCTTGATCTAATTTTGCCTTCATCCCACACCTTCATTTTAACATATGTAAATAAAGAGTAGAGAAAGAAAATATTGCTTTTTAATCTGGTCGTCTGATTTTTCTGACTTGACCTCAATTCTAGAATTAGTGACGTTGTTACTTTGTTGAAATATACTTACGATACAAATATTGTACACGACAGACGTGCTTGAGATCGGTGTCTTCCTTTGGTTTAAAAATTCTCCCCCAGTAACCACAATTGTATGTAGTTGAGGAAACAGCTTTGTAAGTAGTCCTTCAAGCGGATTCATATTCCAGTTTTATGAGTCATATTCCACTGATATCAAGCAACGAAATATCGTTTTAACAAAATTTATTTGCATGTCTTCTGGTGTATTATATATGCTGAAACAAGACTAATATATTCCGAAGTAGACACCACGGTAGTAAACATACGAGTTCCTTGAGTTTTGCTATACATGATCAGGAGAACCTATACCACTAGTCTAAAGATCGTTTATAATTCATATGTTGACAAAGCTATTATGTGTAGTGTGTGCTTTAATGAAGGTCACGTTGTCATGACAGATCAAATGAACCTTTAAAGTAACACCACAAATGTAATACCTTTTTGTATCAAAAACGATCAACATAATTTGGTTACTAGGATAAAACATAAACAGGATGGTTTGGTGACTCGGTGGTAACGCACTACTGGGACATCGAATCATAACTTTTAAGATGAAAAAAAACTATCGCCTTTCATCTAACCGTCCGGGGTTCGATTCTCGGAACGGACGTGAAAAGGTGTGGGGTCACCTGCCTGACAACGTGGGTTTTCCCCTGGTACTCCGATATCCTCAAACAGAGTGATTCTGTCCAGGCCAACAAGAGTGATTGATATAAGCTGATAGTTTGTTTCACAATTGTTGTAAAATAAATAAAGTTTATAATATATTAAACATGCACAGCTCAAATTTATCATGCTGATAAAGGGATTTAAGAGACATTGAAACATACGAAATGCTATCATATGCACAACAAAAATAGCTTTCCCTATGGCGCATACTGTCTTGTGCCACAGATAGTACGTGTATCATATTGCAGCACGTGACTCTTTGAGAGTATGGCTATCCAATGAATTTAAAGAAAACTTTTCTATATAGTACTATATTAATATAAAGCATATAGAATTGTTTACATTCAACTAAAAAATATATTACAAATGTAGTTTTTTTTTACATTCATACAATAGAGAGTTACATTTGTTACCATCCATAAAAGGTGTGAAATCTGCATGACAAACAGAACTGAAGTACATGTCCATCTTTCCAGTATGTGATGAACTGACATGTTTAATACCAGATAAATCTTATACTATCAATACATTGGGAATTCTTTGGATTTTACAGAAATTCAACCAAAGTTTAGGAACAAGAGGTCAATAGGTTAAAAAATATATATCTTTTTCTATTATGCACTGTTTATACAAGGAACACTGATGCATAATACGGTACTGTTTAAGAACGATGCTTCAGACCAAATTTAGACCAAATCCTGATATTTTTAATAATTGCTTATCTCCTCATGCGGACCCTTCCTTACCGCTACAGGGGGTGAAAACCTATCGTTTATACAAAATACATTCTCCATCACCCCATAAGGCCAATTTGGAATAGATTTTGTGCAGCCAGGAAAACAACAACAACAACAAATAAAAATGAAACTGATTGAAAGTAATAATCGTACAGCGTTGTTATGAATTGGTGTTGTGTGTATGTGCTACACACACAGTAAAAATGTAACTCTATATTACACAAAACGACAATGGACAACAACTTAATACTTACCATTTTAACAGAAAATTCAATATTCGCTCAATGTACAGCAGTAGATATTACTTAATATCATCCCAATGACCTTTTCATTAACATACTCTGTTGTTTGTTGTTTAATTTCTCCATGTGAAATAACAAGTTTGTTTCTTAACACAGTTGACATATATGGATTTCAATTTTGGTAAAATCACATTTGGCGATGATCCCAATCACCAAAACCCCTACCCTTGGTTATATTCACACCAAGGCAGTTAAGAACATGAAAGAGAAATATCCCAACTTCTGATATGTATATGTAATGTTTGATTCCTCATGATTTGAATAAACCACTAAACACTTTTTTCTCCGTTGTCGGTTTTCACTGGACACTTATACAGTGGAACCCACGTGCTTTATATACAGGAATACTTAATTCGGGGTCGTGTTGAGCAGAACCCTGACTGTTTGTTCCTCCTAAATACTGGTCAGGAACTTAACCTTGTCGTATAAACACGGCGGAGCCTTGTTCTGTTACAGCTATTGTATACTAAGATTACGAAGTAATTAGAAAGTGAAAGCTATATACGGAATCATACAATGGTGCATGGCATACATGTATACAGGTGTAATGACTCTTAAGGTCTGCGGGGACAGTTTGATGTACAAGTCTGTTGAGGAACAGGGTACATAGGTCGTGTTAATTTTCTTGTATTTAAATGTATTTTATTGTACGATATTCATAGAGTATAATGTCGAGAAAGTCCATCCCTACCCATTATGATATTTTGTGGGTGACATATTGTGACAATCATGCATATTGAATTTTCACGTTTTAGTTGTTATCATGTCCTTAATTGAAGAACACCTCTGGACACACACCTAACCATCAACATATTGATCGCACGAAATTGTATTTAGAATACCTATTAATAAAACAACTGGTTTATATAAAATACGAAATAGCCTGACCGTGTCAGAGATAATTATTTTGCACCGCTTCATACTGTGTAACTGATGGGTACCTAATACATGGGTAAAAGCCCATTGATGATTGCTTCAGGTTTTAAATGCAAGGTTCACAGATGTGCTAATAGGTTTTAAATACATTTAATTTCTCCCATTTATCACGTTTTGATGTAAGTGGTGCGTGGGCTTGCTACTTACGAACTTGAATCTGTATTATATACGGCATACAGAAATTACTGTACATTATGAAGCAGACAATTGTCAGAACATTAACAAACGACAGCAAACAAATGCATTCATTCACAACAATGGAAAATTAATATAATTATCTTGACTATTCATTTTTCGATGTTTTGATACATTGCTCTTAGTTTTATACTCAGTTAATGTTACTGTATGAGAAACACATTTTCAGGAACAGACGTCGAACACTATGTGATTCGTTATTGAGTTTTCGTCAATGTGGCGAAATCTTCAAGCACCTTAATTACTAAAGGCAAGTTAGTTTTATATAATTATTAACCAAAGCAGATCAAAGATAGGATTTTCGGTGGATTCGAAAATTTGCGAAGTTCTTTTGCCCAAAGTATAAATAAATAGATAGATAAATAAATAAATACAATGACCTTGAGAAAGGAAATCTCTTTACATTTACTTTAAATCTGAAGATATCAAGCAGTCGATATTTGGCTCGAGAATTACTAACATTATTTACATGGTGCACATAGTGCTGGAATGGAATCTCGTTACAGCCAGTTTGATGAGGTCAGTCTTGGCCTTTTAAATGTCACTAATCCTATTAATGACGATCAACAGCCTAACAACATTACTTTAATACATCTAACAGTATACACTTACACCAGTAGCACGGATTAATACCTTATTTCGAAAGTATGTCCAACAACCTCTTACAAACAGAATAGCGTGTTTCAGCTTACATGAAAGAAAAATGACAATTTTACAAATATATCACAATATTTACATCTTCTCTACCCATTGGCGATCATTTTCAGACAATATACAAACAAGTGAGTTTGTCATGAATTATTAAATCTACCATATTTTATTAGTGTTACTTAATTAACAATGAGTCGTGTTAGTGAATACTCGGTTCCAATGTCAAGTGGATTAGTACCGTAATATTTTGTTCTTACAGTTTGTTCATAGCTCTCATGACCGATCAACACTTTGCGAGTTAAAGAAATATTTACCGAAAGGATCAAATAAGTACTTATAACTTATCCACAAGGTACACTCATCAAATATACAGAAAAAATGGATATGTTGACCTAGTTTTGTAGAATTAATTTTTAGAATTGTCTGACGATATATTTTATATAATAAGTAATCAGGTGACGGTGTGCCTTGTCATAGAAACGGATCGGGGATAACGATAAATTATCACAGGAAATAGCAGAATATGATATACTTCATCCATAAACTTTTGAAATTCAGAGAAATGACCAAGCTGGTGGGTCGGCAAGAAAAAATACCAGAAATAGGGGTCAGCACTTTTACCTCTCCAGAGGGCAGTGCTGGGCATATACATTAGAAACAAATGTCAAGGACCATTAAATATTTTCTATGATCTGGAAATGATGAAACTCGAATATTGGAGCATCATGTTAACGCAAATTCTTGACACAAAACTAGACACGTCCATTTTTTTTAATAAATTGTGTTGGAACATAACGATATGTAACCACCATGCCTGTGCTATTACCAACACCCGTGAATGTGGTATCGCATATTTAAATAGTATCCATGGATTACTTACGAGGGGACATCGTTCTCCGAATAGGGTCGCCCATTCCTGCTGGTCTGTGTACTACAAAACAGGAGCACATATATGTTAGTGAAAACCCGGTTATATATGTCAACAAAACATAACCCAGAAATAATGAATAATAGACTTGTATTGTTAAGTTACTCTTTTTATTATCAATAAATAAAACAAATCAATAGAAAGAACTGTCATTCCAAATTAAAAAAATGAATATGTAATGAACTTACCTATTTTTCTTTCGTGCCTTCCTGTCAATTATAAAAACACACGTTGCATAAATCGTAAAAAAGAAATCAATATTTAAACACTATATCACATCTTAACATAACCAACTGACACAGATTCTAAAAACATATGAACGCAAATGTACATAGAAAATTTTGTAGTCAGTAATTATTTCCAACTTACGTTATTTTATGTAAATATACAACGAATATGCCGTGACACCACACCTTTTTTACTGTAAAAAAGGAGGCACTTAGAGAACAGAAATTTCTCCAGGCAGTCCCACTATGGTATAATGATCACAGTAAACAATTTTATATTCATTTCATTGAACGAGAAAACAACAAAAAAAATCATAAAGCGACAGCTCTGAAAACCATTAGTAATACTATATCAGTAACCAATCCGTTGTAAGTAAATAGTGTGTGATTTAGTAAACATAATAAACAAAACAACATAAAATAGTGTCGGCCTCTCTTACCTGTACAGACTGTGCTTAATTACGTGATGAAACAACATAACTTTCTATCAACTATAGAAACACACTGCAACAGACCTGAGCATCACAGTCTTATTGGCGTTTGTTACGTTAGTCTGAGGTTTACGTTCTCGCGTGTCGGAACCATTAACATTGCAGTGATAAACACCGTCAGATAATGTCAATAAATTTTACAATGCATTAAACATAGACACAGAAAAATATTAATGTACACATCAATCTATGTTAAAGTGTTTTTGGTGTGCTTTTATCGTTTTAGTTAATTAGTGTAAAGTAAAAACAGGCTTTAATGGTCAATTATGTTGTTAAATAGGTTACAGTGTAATAGATAGGTATTGACAGGTTGACTTTTAACCAAATTTGTGAAAATTAATGTGAAAAAAAGTCGGCAAATGTAAAGAAATCAAACAACCAAATGAAACAAACTTGATCATATTTCGATAATTGGATGGTCTTTGATCTACTAGTACATATACTGACTTGAAATGGCAGCGTCTAGCTTATTTCTAAGATCGTTTTATCATATTCACGTTCACCTGTTAACAATTTATCATAACGGTTATTTGGTTTCACTTAAATTAAAAGATTATAGTATTTGGTGTGTCAGAATCTTTCCGTCAATATTTTGGGTATTCCCACGGATAGTCTTTAATTGTTTAGGATCTTCCTTTAAACATTTCGTGAGGTTGTTGCTTATTTTCTGATCTCTCCTATATATCCTTTGTGATATTGAAGAAAATGGCATAACCTACATTCCGCGTGTACCAACCAAACTTCAAGTCGTGTCTGTTTACAATATAGGACGATTAACAGATAATTTGCCAAAAGGCAGTGTTTATTGATCTCAATCTGCTTTATACACCTACACTAAGGTGAGAAACTTCTATAGCAAAACGATGTCATGTGTCATCAACACTGTTATGACTGACACGTGAAATCGATATTGATCGTATAGACGGATCACATCTTATCTATTCTATCAATGACAGGAATGATTACAAACAATTTAATCAGAAAGGTCAAGTGATAAGTCTTTAATGGTTTCATGTATTCTAGCATACTGATACAACGTGAATTGATTACGTCATAAAACAATGTCACGTGACATTTCCGACTAATGGTTACGATACCATGTGTTGTTATGAAAAGATTGTTTATTGATGTCATGTGACCAAATTTATGTAATACATGTGACTTTGATACAAATGATCATGATATCAATGTCTCGTAACACCGTTAATTTAACATGATTAGTATTTAAGAAGAATAACGAAGTTTATTGAATTATGGGCCTAGTGCACCTCCCTTCTCTCACTCATGATCATCGTTCGACGCGAACACTGTAGACATTATCATCGTTTGACATGATTATCGCAGACTTTCTTATCGTTCAACATCACTATCGTAGACATACCCATCGTTTGACATGACTACCGTAGACATAACCATAGTTTGACATAACTACCGTAGACATAACCATCGTTTGACAGGACTACCGTAGACATAACCATCGTTTGACATAACTACCATAGACATGATCATCGTTTGACATGACAACCGTAGACATAACCATCGTTTGACATAACTACTGTAGACATAACCATCGTTTGACATGACAACCGTAGACATAATCATCGTTCGACATAACTACCGTAGATATAATAATCGTTTGACATGACTACTGTAGACATGACCATCGTTTGACATGACAACCGTAGACATAATCATCGTTTGACATGACTACCGTAGACATAATCATCGTTTGACATGACTACCGTAGACATGACCATCGTTTGACAGGACTACCGTAGACATGACCATCGTTTAACATGACAACCGTAGACATAATCATCGTTTGACATGACTACCGTAGACATAATCATCGTTTGACATGACTACCGTAGACATAACCATCGTTTGACATGACAACCGTAGACTAATCATCGTTTGACATGACAACCGTAGACTAATCATCGTTTGACATGACAACCGTAGACTAATCATCGTTTGACATGACTACCGTAGACATAATCATCGTTTGACAGGACTACCGTAGACATGACCATCGTTTGACATGACAACCGTAGACATAACCATCGTTTGACATGACAACCGTAGACATAATCATCGTTTGACATGACTACCGTAGACATAACCATCGTTTGACATGACAACCGTAGACATAACCATCGTTTGACATGACAACCGTAGACATAACCATCGTTTGACATGACAACCGTAGACATAACCATCGTTTGACATGACAACCGTAGACTAACCATCGTTTGACATGACAACCGTAGACTAATCATCGTTTGACATGACAACCGTAGACTAATCATCGTTTGACATAACTACTGTAGACATAACCATCGTTTGACATGACAACCGTAGACTAATCATCGTTTGACATGACAACCGTAGACTAACCATCGTTTGACATGACAACCGTAGACTAATCATCGTTTGACATAACTACTGTAGACATAACCATCGTTTGACATGACAACCGTAGACTAATCATTGTTTGACATGACTACCGTAGATATAATAATCGTTTGACATGACAACCGTAGACTAATCATCGTTTGACATGACAACCGTAGACTAAGCATCGTTTGACATAACTACTGTAGACATAACCATCGTTTGACATGACAACCGTAGACTAATCATTGTTTGACATGACTACCGTAGATATAATAATCGTTTGACATGACAACCGTAGACTAATCATCGTTGGACATGACAACCGTAGACTAATCATCGTTTGACATGACAACCGTAGACTAATCATCGTTTGACATGACAACCGTAGACATAACCATCGTTTGACATGACAACCGTAGACTAATCATCGTTTGACATGACAACCGTAGACTAATCATCGTTTGACATGACAACCGTAGATATAACCATCGTTTGACATGACAACCGTAGACATAACCATCGTTTGACATGACAACCGTAGACTAATCATCGTTTGACATGACAACCGTAGACTAATCATCGTTTGACATGACAACCGTAGACTAATCATCGTTTGACATGACAACCGTAGACTAATCATCGTTTGACATGACAACCGTAGACTAATCATCGTTTGACATGACAACCGTAGACTAATCATCGTTTGACATGACTACCGTAGACATAATCATCGTTTGACAGGACTACCGTAGACATGACCATCGTTTGACATGACAACCGTAGACATAATCATCGTTTGACATGACTACCGTAGACATAACCATCGTTTGACATGACAACCGTAGACATAACCATCGTTTGACATGACAACCGTAGACATAATCATCGTTTGACATGACTACCGTAGACATAACCATCGTTTGACATGACAACCGTAGACATAACCATCGTTTGACATGACAACCGTAGACATAACCATCGTTTGACATGACAACCGTAGACATAACCATCGTTTGACATGACAACCGTAGACTAACCATCGTTTGACATGACAACCGTAGACTAATCATCGTTTGACATGACAACCGTAGACTAATCATCGTTTGACATAACTACTGTAGACATAACCATCGTTTGACATGACAACCGTAGACTAATCATCGTTTGACATGACAACCGTAGACTAACCATCGTTTGACATGACAACCGTAGACTAATCATCGTTTGACATAACTACTGTAGACATAACCATCGTTTGACATGACAACCGTAGACTAATCATTGTTTGACATGACTACCGTAGATATAATAATCGTTTGACATGACAACCGTAGACTAATCATCGTTTGACATGACAACCGTAGACTAATCATCGTTTGACATAACTACTGTAGACATAACCATCGTTTGACATGACAACCGTAGACTAATCATTGTTTGACATGACTACCGTAGATATAATAATCGTTTGACATGACAACCGTAGACTAATCATCGTTTGACATGACAACCGTAGACTAATCATCGTTTGACATGACAACCGTAGACTAATCATCGTTTGACATGACAACCGTAGACATAACCATCGTTTGACATGACAACCGTAGACTAATCATCGTTTGACATGACAACCGTAGACTAATCATCGTTTGACATGACAACCGTAGATATAACCATCGTTTGACATGACAACCGTAGACATAACCATCGTTTGACATGACAACCGTAGACTAATCATCGTTTGACATGACAACCGTAGACTAATCATCGTTTGACATGACAACCGTAGACTAATCATCGTTTGACATGACAACCGTAGACATAACCATCGTTTGACATAACTACTGTAGACATAATCATCGTTTGACATGACAACCGTAGACTAATCATCGTTTGACATGACAACCGTAGACTAATCATCGTTTGACATGACAACCGTAGACATAACCATCGTTTGACATGACAACCGTAGACATAACCATCGTTTGACATGACAACCGTAGACTAATCATCGTTTGACATGACAACCGTAGACTAATCATCGTTTGACATGACAACCGTAGACTAATCATCGTTTGACATGACAACCGTAGACATGACCATCGTTTGACATGACAACCGTAGACATAACCATCGTTTGACATGACAACCGTAGACTAATCATCGTTTGACATGACAACCGTAGACTAATCATCGTTTGACATGACTACTGTAGACATGACCATCGTTTGACATGACAACCGTAGACATGACCATCGTTTGACAGGACTACCGTAGACATAATCATCGTTTGACATGACAACCGTAGACATAACCATCGTTTGACATGACAACCGTAGACTAATCATCGTTTGACATGACAACCGTAGACATAACCATCGTTTGACATGACTACTGTAGACATAACCATCGTTTGACATGACTACTGTAGACATGACCATCGTTTGACATGACAACCGTAGACATAATCATTGTTGGACATGACTAATGTTTAATACCTTAGTTATTGACCACCATCTTATCTTTAGGAGATTTAGTAATGTAGTTATTTATTAATTAATTGATTTATTAATTATCAATTCAGTACTTTAGTAGCGTGCTAGTATCAGGTTGATTTAAGATTATTGATAAAATTTTTACATACATATATGTAACTTTCCTTATTATCTTTGCATGTTGTCACATGATCTTATCACAAATTTATCAGTATTCCCGAATACTGTTTCTGGTATTGATCTCATATCAAATCATGAATATAAACTTTAATTTACAGCAATTGCAAAACAATCCTTATACCTATGTCAATCACATGTCGGGCAGGTGACCCCATATTTTTTTCACGTCCGTTTCGGAAATAGAAACTCATACGCCTCGGTGAAAGGTGAGGGGCGTTACCATTGCGCCACCCGACCGCCCTAACAATCAAATAATTTCGTCTCAGACCGCTTTCTCTGTTTGATTTTGCGGTATCTACACAAAGTTCAAACATTCTTTTCTAATCCATTGTAAAAACATCTGTAAAGAGCGTTTTGTTTCAAAGATTGCATTATTTCAAATTATTTATCTTATTCATTTTCGTCTGTTTCAATTATACCGATTCCTCTTTCATCCAAATCTCCAGGGTATAAAGACAGAAATTTTCGCTACAGTATGTTATTAGTGGGCCTATAAACATTATTTGGAGAGTCAACTCCCAGCCCACTGGGTTATCACTGTATATGGAGACTTGCCCAAAAACGGACAGTCGAAATGAGTAGGTGCCATCCGCACACTGTAACACAAGATAAACTTGTAATCTTAAAGTTATTGAACATATTTCACACATTGAAAACTCACCTTCTCAGATGCATATAGATGAAAGTTTCCATAGCTTGTGGCCTGTAATTATAACGTAATCCATTATAATGACGTCATAGAGGTTGACAGGTGCAACAGACATTTGGAATTAACAAAAGACCAATATTTTTTTTATCGAATTCTAGTTTCAAAGAGAAGTGATAATATATAACAAATGTAGATTAATTTACTCTCTGCACGCAAATAGTCACGAATATGGTTATTAATTATACTAACCTGTTCATATTCCAAGTCTGAAATTCAGAACTATACTCAGCTTAAAATGTTTCAGTGTAATGGTGAAAAACTTAGCCAGTGTCATTTCATTATCACGATTTAAATACATCGAATGACTGGGAATTGCCACGTTGAGATATTGAAATTTAGATACTAAAGTAATATTTAACAATAGTTACAAAGCACGCACCAAGTTCGTGAGTTTATCCACTAAACATAAATCTATTAAATCTTTAAAAGACACATGCAATGTTGTCAACACACACATATATTTACACACATTACACTGATAACATTGCTTTGAAGTCGAGATGACAAGATACAGATACGTCTTTGGTAGGTACGGAGAGTTCGTTTTGTTTCGTCCGAGGGTACGTGTTGAAATGTTTACGAAGCACCCCGAAAGAGGTCAAAAGGTCTGCATTGATAAATTCCGATGTACATTTCCGTTCAGTAATGTACTTCAAATAGAACCGAATGCACTAACCAAACACACGATTCTTAAAAACTCGTTTTTAATCCTTTTTATCCAATAGTGTGTTTTGTGGAAGATACGTGTACTGTTAACAGAACACATCATTGTTTAAACTGGATTTAAATATATCTATGTTTTACATATTATATTACCTGTTTGTTTTTATTTCAAGGTGACTAAACTGGCTAGCTGTTGATTATAGCAGGTTGAACAATGTGGGCACCAGTTATTTAATTTGCCGACGGTTTCAAATTTCCAACTCTAAAGTACAATCGCCACACTGTAAACGTAACTTAATACGTGAAAAATAACAAGCACGGGGACATGCGAATCGTAGTGTCATTTGATATTTTAATGTTATCGAGAGATATATTCAACTTTATTCATAACTTGATCATAATAAAATTATCAAAATCTATTTATAGCCAACAAATGGTCATATTCTTCATTTCCTTATCGTTTCTTGTGAATGCTTTAATGATATAACACTGTACTCGGGAATAAAAAAAATATGTCCCAGTTAACAAATAACCGAATGTGGAGGACGAATATTCGCAAATTTTAGAGAATCAACATTCTGAAAATAAGATTATAATACTTGCATTAATTCGTCTTCAAAATGCTGTTCATGAAATGAATCGTTCACGATAATGCCCGTGGAATTATTTCTCATACAGTTTTTTTTTTAAAGATGAGACAGAAATTTATTTTATGAAGAAGCAAGAGAAAATTCACCTGTCCGTACTTAGTAACGTAATATAAGGAGTTTTATTAAATACTCGGGCGAAACTAAAACGAATTAATATTTCTCTGTCTTTTGCCTTGTTTCGCATAAATAAAACCAACTCTTTTTCCTAGTAATTAGTGCTCATTTGAATAGGTTTTCATATAGCATATTTCTAACACGAAAAACTTCGCGTGGCTAAGGAGCTGGTCCATAAAAATCCACCGCCTTGTATGTTCTTGACGTTTCACAATAGCTTAGTACCACAAAATGACCCAACCTTGAATTCAAATTATGACCCCAAAAGAATGAAATTGAAACAATGAGAGTAGAACATGTCTTGCGCTGCTCTGTTCTCGACTGACTTACAAAGACATAAGATTTACCACCCGTATTGACCTTTAATGGAGTTTGTGTTTCAACATAACGATATCTCGATATATTTTCTCTTTTTATCGCAATTTTAACGAGTTCAAAGGACTTTGTGTTTAAGTACGTCATTTAGAACTAAGACAAGCCAGATATTAAATAAACACAGCGTGGAGTAGATATACACGATACATAACAGGGGGCGATCTGATCAATATATGTTAAGGTCCCTGTGTTAGGTGTTACTCTCCAACACTGGATGGTGTCACGCGACAATGTCCAGGTAATGACATTTCAGTCAAGCTGCACTTTAAACAGAATTTGAGATGTCAAGTGTTTTTTGAACATCGTGAGATCCTAAATGTTTCGAGAATTAAAAACTATCAAACAAGCATCTATACAGTGGCACAGAGACAAGATACGTAACTTGTTAACTTCATGTATACAAAGTGAAGAGTACGACCAATTTAGAAATGTCCAGAAACGTTATAATTATCATGTAAAATAGATATTAGTATACCTTTATGGTGTAATATACATTATTTAGCAGCATGTGTAAACTGTTTAAGATTGATGTCAATAACTATTATATCATCACACTAAACTTCATCGGAATCGTCACTTCGTGTTTCGACCGAATGATTTATTTTCTTAAATGAAATGTTTGAGTGCCAGAGGTCATCCTGACTAATAATGAGAGATAAAATTTTGTGAAAAATAAAATGGTTGATAATGGTAATCTAAAAGATTCGATAATGAATTAGTCATTCAATTGATCCAAACAAAAGTGAATATGTAAATCAACATAGACGTGATTATGTTTGACAAAGAAATAAAACATTTTAAAAGAAGAAAATATCAAAAAATATCAAAATAGAACAAACGGGCATAGCCTTCCAATTCATATTCAGAAATCCGTCAGTCTGGATGCAAAGTACAGTGGACTTTTTCGCGTGAACATTTATCAGATATTAAAGAAGTTGTATTTAAGGATTGTGGGTATTCTATGTTTAAAAATCGTTTTCTGTGTGTGTTTTTGGACTTCACACATGATTTTTTTAGTTAAACAATTGATACTTGTATTTGATGTCCGGGTTGTGTTCAGTAATGTCCAAGAGTGAAGCTGGTCTTACCTGTGATGGTCATTGTCGGCGTCCGATACCCGGCAGTTGATAGACATTTCCTGACTGTCATCCATATTGGTCAGTTCTAGTGGTCACCCATATCACACATTTTCTTGTCTAAATGACTTCCATCAAGAATATAAATCGCTGAAATTTGGATCACATTGTATGCAACAAGTGTCGCTTATCAAATCTGATCACCTACATCAGCGGTATCCCGTACTAATAATAATTACACATCCGAACACCTAGGTGAACCAACCGAAATAAAAGGAGTAAACACACCTTCTTGTATTTAGTCAATCTAGCTGTGTGAATGGCTAACGGTATGCCTGGAAGTACTCCCTCGAGAGACAGTTAGGGTCTTTTACTGCGTCTGTAAAATTCAAGTTAAAGGTTGTTTCTATCTTTAAACATCAAAAATGAAATATCTTCCTGGTCGTTTTCCTTTCATAAGTGTATTCGGTATAACCAGTATTTGTACACAGAGAGACACGCTGCTGTCGACTCACACTTGTTTCAGATCAATACAATATTGACACATGTAATATTAACTCTTCGACTCCGGATACTGATATGATATAATTTCAAAGTAATTAATATCCCACAGAAAGACAACCTAAATCCTCAAGGCTTTCAGGTTTTAACCCCACATCAGAAAGGACACCATTCAATGTAAACCGTGGCTCTATTGGGTGAACCCGGTAATGAGACTTCCTAAGACGCGTCAGGTCTGACAACAGAAAGCGAAAACGGTGTATAAACTTAAGCTCTGTCGCTAAACAAACGATAAGATGTTATGAAAATGCTGTCACAAAAGTATAAACGTCTTACAGGATAAAAGAGGTATTTCTAAGTGTTATCGTTATTTATCTTATTGTATCAACATATCGACCAGTTGTTTATAGACAAGTTGTTATAATGTCGCGCGTACGAAAATATATCCAGAGCATAGATATCTGTCATGTTAAAATCATCAATAAAATTAACACAGTGACTAAATTATCTTATTTACAGTGGGAGTTTTAGTGACTTTCACTATTTTTCTTTTTTAGTGTTAATCACGAATGGCAAAAAAAGGCACAAAATAACCATAGACTAAGCTGACCACACTGTTATTTATTAGCGGTGTAACCTCTTTCCGCATGCTTAATAACTTTCTGTTCAACAAATATTATTGCACACGATTATACCTACTTACACTGTAGACATAATGCTATCAGATATATAATATTTTCAATAGTTTAGAATTTGGCATGTTCCCTATTATAAAAACAGTAATTAAAATAGCCCATTGTCCAGGTCGTTTGGCACGCAGTGTTCTCTTCATTTTACATGTTCTAACATTTTCTAAAGCTCATTTTTTTACATGGGCTGAAAACCTCGTATTGTTTACAGTTATCGCTGCGGACAATTCATTTTATCGACACCACGTATCGTTTTTACTAATGATAATGATATTGGGGTAACGGAACATTATATTTTCCCGGGCTTCTGTTTAAATCAGGTATTCAAGTGAAAAATGAGTATGAACTCTCAACGCCTTTGAGTTTTTGTATATACTTGACGGTCTTAGGGTTTAAGTGTGTTACCTGTGAGAGTTAGAGAGTTGTGAAAGCTAGGAGATTCGGTTTTCGGGGTTATGCTTGTCACTTGTGATAGTCAGATATTTCAACCTTATTTATCAACTGTTGGCTGTCTGGTTTAGGTTCGTCACCTACGAGAGCTTGGGTTGTCGAATTCGGGTTTAGGTTCGCCACCTGTTATAGTCAGGTATGACATATCTTATTTGCCAACTGTGAGAACTAAGATTGTCGACTTTCAGGGCTAGCTTTGTCACCTGTGATAGCTAGAGTTGTCGGCCTTGTTTGTCACCTGTGATAGCTGGAGTTGTCAGTCTTGTTTGTCACCTGTGATAGTTGGAGTTGTCGGCCTTGTTTGTCACCTGGGAAATCTACAGTTGTAGACTTTAGGATCTCTACACGTTAGCGCTACAATTATCTGTTTTCGGTATAAGATTTATCATGCGTCACTGGCGAGTCCTATATATAAAGATGTCGACAGTATTTGATCTGTAGAGATGTCAGTGGCAAGTCCCCTATCTAAAGTTGGCAACAGTATTTGGTCTGTAGGGCTGTCAGTGACGAGTCCCCCATCTAAAGTTGGCAACAGTATTTGGTCTGTAGAGCTGTCAGTGGCGAGTCTTATTTCTAGAGTTGTCGACAGCATTTGGTCTGTAGAGCTGTCAGTGACCAGTGGTATGTGTAATGTCTGATCTGGCAGCTCTGGAAATGTCAGTCTAGAGATAAATAGATCTATCGTGTGGTCCGGATCGTGAAATCAGAAAGTAAGTTGTCAAGTCGTCAGGTATCGAGGTCAGTGGTCCGGTCTATAGATGTCAGTGGTCAGGGCTCGGTGTCAGTGGTCAGGTCTATAGAAGTCAGTGGTCAGGTCTATAGATGTCAATCGTCAAATCTCGAGGTCAGTAGTCAGGTCTATAGAAGTCAGTGGTCAGGTCTATAGATGTCAGTCGTCAAATCGAGGTCAGTGGTCAGGTCTATAGATGTCAGTCGTCAGGTCTATAGATGTCAGTCGTCAGATCTCGAGGTCAGTGGTCAGGTCTCAAGCACAGTCGACAGGTCTGTAGATGTCAGTGGTCAGGTCTATAGATGTTAGTCGTCGGGTCTCAAGCACAGTCGACAGGTTTGTAGATGTCAGTGGTCAGGTCTACATATGTCAGTCGTCGGGTCTCAAGCACAGTCGACAGGTTTGTAGATGTCAGTATTCAAGTCTCGAGGTCAGGTCTATAGATGTCAGTTGTCAGGTCTGTAGATGTCAGTCGCCAGGTCTCAAGGTCAATCGACAGGTCTGTACATGTCAGTCGTCGGGTTTCAAGGACAGTCGACAAGCCTGTAGATGTAAGTAATCAAGTCTCGAGGTCAGGTCTATAGATGTCAGTTGTCAGGTCTATAGATGTCAGTCGCCAGGTGTCGAGGTCAGTTGTCGGGTCTGTAGATGTCAATTTTCAGGTCTCAAGGTCAGTCGACAGGTCTGTAGATGTCAGTAATTAATCAAGTCTCGTGGTCAGGTCTACAGATGTCAGTAATCAAGTCTCGAGGTCAGTTGTCAGGTCTATAGATGACAGCAGTCAGGTATATGGATGTCAATCGTCAGGTCTATAGATGTCAGCCGTCAGGTATATGGATGTCAGTACTCAAGTCTCTAGGTCAGGTCTATAGATGTCAGTCGTCAGGTCTCAAGGACAGTCAACAGGTCTGTAGATGTCAGTAATCAAGTCTCGAGGTCAGGTCTATAGATGTCAGTTGTCAGGTCTGTAGATGTCAGTCGTCAGGTCTATAGATGTCAGTCGTCAGGTCCCGAGGTCAGTTGTCGGGTCTGTAGATGTCAGTCGTCAGGTCTATAGATGTCAGTTGTCAGGTCTGTAGATGTCAGTCGTCAGGTCTATAGATGTCAGTCGTCAGGTCTCGAGGTCAGTTGTCGGGTCTGTAGATGTCAGTCGTCAGGTCTATAGATGTCAGTCGTCAGGTCTCGAGGTCAGTTGTCGGGTCTGTAGATGTCAGCCGTGGTCGGTGAAACTTTCAGCCTTTATCGCGTGATGTTTGCACGAAAGGCTACGTAACGAAAAGGATCGAATATGCGTTTACATCTGAAAAGAAAAACACGCAATGAATACTATAATGTTTAGGTTTAGAAAACCTCATCTGAAATGGACATTCGATGACAAATAAGGTACTGTATTCTCGTCTTGTGGGTATCATTGTAGAACTTTGCGCTTTACCTGATATCAGCAAGACGTTTCAACTTTAATAAACCACACCTGTCTGTAACACCCATCTTGTTTACTGTCCTATACATACAACGGCGATAACTATTATTAAATACACATTTACTACTAGGCGAAATTATCAATCTATAATATAAAGCCTAGGTTATCAAAATGCAAAGTATACTATCGAGGCCTGCTGGATTTGAAATATTACACCGGCGTTTGGTAAAGTTCGATGAGATAAGCTTATAAATTTTAATGTATTTCTAAATATAATTTCCAATGACATGAACGGTGATATGTTACAGTTTAATACACGGTATATGGAATGTTGTAGGTTCACAAAACTATGTTATTTAATGTATTGTAGTATTATTAATAGATAGCTACTGTAACAAGAGGCCCATGGGTCTTAACGGTCACCTGACTACAAAACTTTCAGCAGGGAGAAGGGTTATTTTTCTACTTTGAACGAAATCTTATTATACTTATTAAGAAGCCGTTTTCATATTGCAGATGATAGTTTAGGTGAGGAGTAGGAAACTGTAATGAGTGTTATCTTTTTTTTTTAAAGCAGAGTTGGAGCTCAATGCAACTGGTGAAACTTGAGAAGTTTGAAATAGGTGTTGCAAAGGAAAGTCTTGATTGTGCAATCATGTTTAAAATGGCCTCTCTGGCTACCGTGTCAAAGTTTTGACAAGGTCGAAAAATAACAAAACTTTGTTGACTACCTTTCCTTAACATTCCCTCCGATGTTTAGCTCAATGGCACCAGTGGAACTGGAGATGAAGTTTGAAATGTGTTTTTTAAGGTGGCGGCCATCTTGGATATCAGACATACTAAAAAAATAACAACACTTGGTCAGGACCATCTCAGGATCATTTCGTGCAAGTTTGAGCTCAATCCTTTTGTTGAGAAAAAGTTTGAAATAGGTGTTGAACAGGACAACCACGATTGTGCAACCATGTTAAAAATGGTCTCTCTGGCTACCTTATCAAAATTTTGACACGGCCAAAAAATAACAACACTTTGTTAGCTACCTTTCCGTAACATTCCGACCAATTTCTAGCTCAATGGCACCATTAGAACTGGAGAAGTTTAAGATATGTTTTTTTCATGATGGCGGCCATATTTGATTTCAGATACACTCAACAAATAACAACATTTGGTCCGGACCATCTCAGGATCATTCCATGCATGTTTGAGCTCAATCCCACTAGTGAAACTTGAGAAGTTTGAAATGTCAAAAATTTCCGCACGGGGGACAACGGACGAAATACGATGGTTATAGGTCATGATCATTCAAGGTCAGGTGACAGTACTGCAACTGGTCCTGCTTTATTTTTATGTCACAATGCTCTTTTTGGCCATTCATTGTTTCCACTGTTCCAATAACTTAATATCCTTCATCGTACAAGACCAAGATTTTCGTAACATGTAACACAAATACAATTCTATAACCAATGTTTCCCAACTTGATGTTGGTGATGTAAAAATGTTTATAAAAGCAGTGCTTGAATGGAATTACAGTTGATATAATTGCAAAATGTCCTTCGTGAGTTCATGGGATTTAGCAGGTCACTTTGCAATCTTAACAACTACAATTACAATAAGAAAACATTTCATTTCTTAAATCTACTCTAGTTTTGAGACACAACGCATTACTTAATTATGGCTTTTTCCATTAAAATATCTACCTAATAGGAATGCAGGTTTTTCATATAGGAATTACTCACAGAAGTGATTTAATTAACATATTATCTATTAATAAGTTTTTTTCTCTAGCATCCAACATGCACACATTCTTTATTTGCGGAGTTGGATATATTTTACTGGCATAGAACCAACAACATGAGATGCATGCGCAACTCTTTTCCAATTATTCATATTTTTCGTCTATGCTTGAAAGACCCTTATGAACTTGGAGGTAGGTCAAGATCATTCATCTGAAAAACTTAATCCCAGCACGTGTCCATTCCCTTTTATCAAGACTCCAAGTCTCTTGGTTACAAGTTGTACCAAGATTTAAAACCCATTTGACCTTGTTTTCATAATCATGGCAGGTAAAACTATGAATATGAAGATGAAAATACTTGAATAAACAATAAATTCTTTTATCCTTTCACTTTATAAACAATGATAATTCTGGGAGCCCTATACCCCACAAACTACTACCCCTTACTTTTTATTTTTAAAAAGAATTTTCATTTTACTTCTAGGAAAAAACGGCTTCAATCCTCTCTGATCTTAAATGATTCATTAAAAAAAACCAAAATAACATGTGAGTCCTCAAATGTAACCAACTCACTCTTTACAAGTTGTATTCATAATAAAATTCAGTAATTAACCAGAGTAAATTATTCGAAATCGGTGATCAAAAAATTCTGATCCAAGAAAAATTCAAACTGTATTCACTAGTATGAACAAATATGTTCCGCTCGAGACTAAACATAAATGATGTCATATTTCTTACAAGCATACCAAGAGCAAATTAACATTTTGTAAAGGGAGATAAACGTGTATGATCTCCACATTTCCCTAACCAATAACAACCAGTAAACAATGGTAAAATTATAAATGAATATGAGTTTAATGTGTTTGATGCAGATCATGAATTAGCACATAAACAGTACAAAATCAACATAAAAAAAAGAAAATCAAAATTTGCAGTTGTGTTGTTCAAGTGCCTGTCCTCATGGGAGGCGATACCAGAATCACACCATCTCCTCGTACAAACAACATCGGAATATTCCTCTTGGTTGACTAGAAAACAAACAGACACAAATATAGAGAGATACATATTTACTAATAAACTAACCATGTTAAGTAATTAATTAACTAACTTTCTAATTATTACCTCATCAATAACCAGAGTTGTGTTTCAGAAGTACCTATTAATTCTAAAATATATTTGAACATTAAGGTCATCATATAACTTACAAAGAACTTCTTCTTTTTAGCTCAATATGATGGATGTAAAACAAGTAACTCAGGTTCTTGTGAAAGCAATGAAATAGACAATGAACTGATACACTGGCACCAATGTAGGGACTCAGGAATATTACTTGTGACACTTTTATAAGCATTGCTGTAACACCTAGAAACTTATGGTTGAGTTATTTTCTGAAGGGTGAGTATATAACCCAGGTAAATACTTTGCAATATATCAGTAGGCTGTAGAGATCTTCTCTCTAACTCAATTGATTAAGTGTGAGACTAGTAATTCAGAGGTCTGGGATTTGAATCCTTGTGATAGCAATGAATGGAATAATGACCTCTACTACAAACAATTTAGAAAAGAAATAAGAATACTGAATAGGAATGCTATTCTCCTTTGGTTTAAGAATTAGGTTTTTTTGGTGGTGATATCTTACTGTATATTACAATCTTGTCATGATCTCCCTGGTAACTCTAAATTTTAATACAATGTACCTTGTAAATCTCCTCGTAAGTTTCTTCATCAATCTCCACTGTTGTGACGGTTTCCTCAACATCCCCCATTATCATGTTGAGATGCTGATCATAAGCCTGAAGACAAAACAGGAATCTTAAAATACAGTATAGATCAACATAAAGGCATTTTACCTGATAACTCTCTTGGTGTTTCTTAGAATAGCAAGTATCAGATAAATATTTGAAATAATCTAACCTGCATCTGTTTCAACTCTTCACTATTTTCTAGATTGAAGTTATTTCAGCAATTACATGTCTCATTACATTAGATGTGTCAAAACCCAAGTCAAATAGGCAGGTCCTTTCAAACACAAATAGTCAAAATGTCCTTATGTATATAAACTTTATCTATTTTACAACAATTGCGAAACAAGTTATGTCAACTTATACTAATCACTCTTGTTGGCCTGGATGTAAGCGCGCGAGGGGTCTTATTGTGGGAGGAAACCAGAGTGCCTGGGGAAAACCCATGTCAGGCAGGTGACCCCTTACCTTTTCATGTCAGTTCCGGGAATCGAACCCTGGTCGGCTAGGTGAAAGGCGAGTGCGTTACCACTGCGCCACCCCACCACCCAATGTCCTTATGTATATTCTTTACTAAGAGTTCCATGGGCCTCCCCTCTCATCCTGAATAGTAGCATCTAGTCTTCTCAATATGAAATGCTTTGTTGTTCCTTTTTATACACAATATTCAATTCCTCCTTACGAAGAATTGCTCAAGGTCTTGGTTATTTAACCCATTCAAAGCACCCTGATGGACAAATTTAGAATATCAGTAGCCTAAAGGGGGTTGGACTTTGAATTTTGGAATCTAAATCTACTTTATATGTAACAAAGCAAAGCTTTGGACTTAAAGGATTGGCTAATACATATGGAAACATCACAATTATGAAGAAACATACATGAAGCCTTCCTTTCAGCTCACGCTCATTCCTCATCTTAACATAAATCCTTTCATCAAGACTCAGTCGGATCAAGTCAAGTGGTTCCTCCACATTCTGCACAGGAGCTTGCTGTAATTAAAGAACAAGTAAAACTTAAGCTACAATATGTATTAGCATTAAGCTATCTCTCACCTTACTTAATACAAGTGCAGGATGTGTCAAAGAATGTACAAATAACACCTTTTACTAATATACTTAAGATGTAGTAAAGCCTAACAAAGAATTAAGCTTCATCAATTTTTCAGTGTTTTTCAAAACAATAGACATCCTTTCTATGAGTCGATTCCTAATTTTTTTTTACTTCTTTGTCACAGTTGAAAATAATCTCATTGTGTGCGAGAATTGTGGCCATTTCAACTTCTAAAACAAAATCATTTGGATAATAGACATTTACATGAGTTATAATTAGTCCCCTTTGCTTTTTATATGAATGGTGTTACTAGATTTGAGCCCAGTAATATTTAGTGTGCAGCATAAAGACTAAAAAGATCCTGATGGCGCACTTTTTCAGGTTTTATCAGTTTCATACAAGATACATATTTACATAATTATATATGTGAGTGCTTTATATACTCCAACAATTGCATTATAATCATAGTGAAATGTCTTATCAGACATGTTACTACAAGTGAACAGGTTAGGAAACCCACATAGGAATAGTAGTCCTGTATTTACATGACATTGACTGCTTGAGGAATAAATTTGTTACTGAAGTGTAGGATTATTTGAAATATCAATATGTGATTTATTTTTAAACATATGCAACAAAAAAGCCTCATCTTTTTAACATGGCCCAAAGGCCAATGTGACTATTCATTTATATAAGAACTATTCATTTCTGTTATCTAACTTTGTGTAAAATGACATTTTATGTTACTGACTTTGTTCTTTAACAACTATACCCATTGAAAGCAATTCACTTAACAATTAGTTTATGTATAAAGAAAACTGTACAATGTGCATCAGAATGTCAATACATGATAGCAGGCATTTTCAGACACTGTGAATTTGGGTTTTTTTAACAAAATAATTCACTTTATTATGATAAATTATGTGCATCAGAATGATTGATCTTTGTATCATTATAATCAATTATGTTGCTGTTAAACAATTAGATAATTGATTAAATCCTATCATCGTCCAATCAATATATAGTATGCCCTATTCACCGGTGTACCTAATGAGTGTCCTGGGACAAATGAGTGTCCTGGGGCATATTTAGTTCCCAGCAGTTCATTCATTAAGATACTTTTATATTTTATATATGCATCAATACAATTTACATCAATATCTAGCAACAAAGAAAAGATAATTATGATTTAACAAAAGTATAATAATAGTAAAAAAAACCCACTGTTGAATTTGATGTGGAGCAAGCACAATTTACATCATATGGATCTACCATGTAGGAGTGAGTGTCCTACTAGGTTTTCACGCACCCAGCACCTCATTAATTGAAAATTTTTAAATATTTTTTTTGTATTACCAAGTATGTACTTTACATCAATGCATCATTGAAGTTAACATTAACAAATGACAAGAACTGTCATGGAGGAGTATGATAGGAAGGACGGTTCTATGATTGTCTTGGGGTATTCATTATTTAAGATATTTAAAAAAAATTGTATTATACAGTGAACATTCATTAGTCTGACCACAGCCATTTGAAGTGATTCTCATTTTCGTGACAACAATAACGCCAATAGATTAAAGTGAAACATGCGATTTGTTTTATAAACTACAATAGCAAACAGAAATTATTTTTCACAATCAATTCGAAAATCATTAAGCTTTTACTACTTTTGAACAGGTTAATAACGTACTTTTTGAGAAAAATATAAACATAGCAAAGCTATAGATAACTCTAACTTGTTCACTATAGTGTTGCAAAGAGACATGTGCAGTTCCGTATCCAACTGTATCATACGTCCATGATTTGCGAGAGAAACAAATTTACTAATCATAGCAGTAATGAAAATACGACTACACTGTGTAGGAAGGGAGATAACTTTGTGTGCAAGATAAATGAACTTTCAAACACTTAGCGCAGTTTAGGGAATGAAAATGATTTTACAACGATGACATTCATCATTTTTACTGGCACTATTTGTATTCTGAGTTATTAGGGCCTATATGCTGCACTACAGTAATTGTAAGCCAGTCGCCCTGTTTACAACGCAGCCATCACGCACCTGCTCTTGATCGTCGGCCATCTTTCTTTTAAAAGTTCAGCGTGAAGTGAATATACACAAAAAAAAATCACTGGAAATTATAACTGTCCATAACAATTCAAAATATCTGATAACATTATAAAATTGAACTAAGTAGTTTTTGCGTACTAAATATTTTAACATGCAAAGTCTAAATTACAACAAAACTATTTTGACCAATCATTTTAAATGGTGATAACTGACATCTTGAAACCGGAAGTAAAGCATTTTCTCACGCGGGATGAATGAAAACATTGAATGGTAAGCCTTCAGTATAGTACAAATCTCGTTATTTAAACTCTAATTTAATACACTTACGTTATTATCCCTTGATACTTTAAATATAACAGCAAAGTTGTATTTCACACATCTATCAAAAAGTACATGTTCTCCAACAATGCAAGAGGTTTACACTACCTAAAGCAATGGCGAGAGAGACTTATTGGTTGGTTGACAGGTTTGTCGTCTCAGCGATTCCTCCCGTGTCCGGGTATCGTCTCACCGTCGAATGTCAGTGTTTTGGCAACGGGGGAGGAGGGGGGTGGGGGCGACCTACGTCACCTTTTGTACGATGGAACCGTCGTAACGGTGATCGTTTGATAACACTAGTTTTGAGTTTTAAAAGGCTGCTCAAGGGCCTAATAGTGCCTTATCCTAACTCTAGCAATTGAAACATGTCTAGAAGCTGACAGGAAGTGTAAGGGCCTATCTAGTTTCGGTTTGGATAATTTTGAAGTCCGTCTAATGTCCTTAGAATAATCGTATTGTCTGACACTATCCCTTGACCCCTTAACTGGTATTATCATGCCTACTCTTTTTATGAAAATCAAAGGGGGATCTTAAGCGTGTGAGAGTGGACATTCCTCATATGAAACTATATCAAATGAGTTGTACATATTAGTCAATTTGACTTGTTAAAGTCTTTCAATAACTGTGCAAGTGCGTTGATGAAGTCAAATTTAGACAGCTTATAATACGCCATTTAGGATTGCAAATTCAATTGTAAAGTACAAAAATAGTAAATATTAATTTTTTTGTTTTTGTTTATAAGATTACAATCATGTGCCAAATAGATTCCAGATTCAGTTAACAAACCATGGTATTCAGTAACTATATGTTGTAACTATGTATTCGAAAAAGGTAAAGAAATGTCAAAGTGATGATTTTTACCCATATTTGAACATTCAACTTTTTGTAATATATTATGCAGAAATGGCAATAGGCAACATAACAAATCCCGTGGTGGAGAAAGCATGGAGAAAACGTCGGTCCTGGAAAAGGTCAAGACAGTCATTGTTCTGGTTTGGTGTTAACCTACTCCTGTCCTTGCTTCTGTACTATGAGCTGTAAGTATAACTGATTTAACAAAAGTGTGCATGTATGCTGTACATGTAGCTAAGACTATGTCAGATTGACGAACTCTTTCCCATATTGTCCAGGATTGATAATCTATGTTTGAATTGAAGAAACTGAATATTGGTATACACGACCCGAGAAGTACAATCAAGGAGGTTAAGAAGCAAAGGGGATCAGGTATTGAATTATGTGTAAGAACATATACCTGTGCTTGTACCAGTGATTTTGGGACTCATCATTTGAATCCTGGATTTTTTGTGTGTGGGACACTGCTATATCTCTTATTAATGGGACATACCAAGATTTAGGAAATTGTGTTCAGAACTTAAATGAAAAATCCAACAAAATGCACTGAGTACTTTAAAGTGACTTTTCCCATTATATACATTATTAAGGATTTTAAAATGTACGAAAATTTGAAACACAGTAATACCACAACTACTAGAATGATATCATTGTATTTGCAGTAACAAGTAAGGTACTCAGAAACCCAGGTCATTGTTAAGACCAATACACAAACTATGAACATTTGCTTAACCAATTGATCTACATAAACAAGTAGTCAATCAGCTGTTCCTCTAGACTCCTCTGTTGTCCAAAAAGTCATTGAACCTTTTAAAGACCTTAAATTGAGCCGAAGAAAAAATGTGTACATTGTATATCAATTTCTTTTGTTTTGTTAAGTTTAGGTTCAGTGACTAATGTATGAATTATAACAGATTGGGAAACCTACAGCCAGACTACAAAGTAATTGCTATGTAAATTGAGACCTCTGAAAATTATAATTATTGAGCTAACAGGATGCCCTTTTTATCATTGTTTATATTTTCAACCCCCTTTTTTGTCACCAGGAATTTCAACACGATTGGGTCCTGTTTTGAGTTGAGTCATCCATTGCTGTGGTATACAGGTAAAGCGTTTCTTACATTTTTTTAGGCGGAAAAATAAAACTAAAATAAATTACACCTAATAATTTTTGGATCTTATTTGAGTTATGTACTCATGCTTTTCTTGTGATAATCACTCATCTTTTGAAAAAAACTTTATCTCTGTGTATCGGGACTCATCTAAATTTTGGATATGAAGTTCTTTACTCTCTTGAAAAATGGTACAAGAAGGACTGTGTCATTGATTTTTAGTACTCAAGATTTTCCTTTGTGGAACTCTATCAATTTGAGTACCCACTATATCTTGTAGTAATTGGACTCAACAAAATTTTGGTGTTGGTGTTTCATATTCTTTTGAAAAAAACCTACAAAAATTACTGTTATGTCTTACTACTTGGGACATTGCGAATGAAAAGCTGAACACTTATGATTATTTCACTGGATAAATAATTACAAAGTTTTTGATATAAAATTTTATATTTTCATTCTTTCATTTACAGAATGTGCACTAATAGTTGTATTCCTCTTCAATACCCTGGCTAACCTAATGGTATATGTACGTCCATATTTAATGCCAAGTACTGTAGAAGTGACCACTGGTCAAAAGAAGCTGCTTGGGATTAGCGATACAGGTTTGTCAATTATTGAATGGTTAGTTAAAAACTTACAAAGAGTCGAAAAAATTATTTAACTCTTCCCATGAAAATGCATTTTTGCTGATGTTGTCCTAACGTTTACATATATAGTGGACCCTCTTATAAGAGTCATTTTCCTAGATTATGTTGCAATAAAGATGTCTGTGTTTTCAGAATATCTGAATAGATATGTTGTATTTTTCACCATGAAGCTATGACATCACATTGACCTTTAGCCTTTAAAAGCTAATTCATGTCATATATTGTCTTTTATACATTGTCTTTGATACAATGAAAGTTAAAGTACTATCATCCAGCCAAGGATTAAAAGCATTTGTGGGCTTCGGAACACTGTTACATCTGTTAGCATAGATGAGGGTCTTCAAAAGGTGGCATTGAGGCAAAGTTATTATACAGTTATGGGTCACATGACCTCAGTACAATTTTAATTTTTCAAAAATACAAATAACATCAGGCAGTTTGATTAGTGATGATAGATTTTCATTATAGGAACTATCATTTATTTTGTAAAATTGTATCTTTCACATTGCGACCATATAATGACAATATGATGTCTTTTCATTTTATAACATTTATTTTTTACATGTTTATATTTAATCAAGAAATATTTTTATCCATTAACAGAACTTGGATTCCGATTATCCCCAAGAAAATCTCCTAGCTCTGTTTCCTCAGAAGGCAGCCTGATATTTGCCAGTACTCCTTCAGGACAGTCCAGTTTCTCCAGTAGTGGCAGTCCACGTTCCGTGGGTCATATCACACCTACCAACATTGGTGCATACCCAGGTCACAAGACCTTTGGAGTTCCCTCCCCTTCTGCATCATTTGCTTCGTATGGTTCACCAAGTACCTCATATGACAGAGTAGGTTTCACTTATCTACAGTAAACTCCGATTTTTCAGAACAGTTTAAGTGGCGTATTAAGGAAATTTGAAAATTAAAAAAGGAAGGATTTTGTAATTTGTTTAAGCTTAAGCCATTTAAGTTTTGAGCAAAGAAGATATTTAAACAATGATTTTAGTTAAGAATTTTATTCTTAACAAGACATCAAAAAGATTGATAAAGTGAAAATATATCTACTTTAGTATTACTTTATTGGCTACATCAATATCGCTGGGTGTTCACTTGGCCCAGGGATAACACACATGTCTTTCACTGAGGCCACCTGGATTCAATATCCCTACTGGACATGACAAGATATGGGGTCTCCATCCCAGTCAAGTGGTTTTTTCCTAGGTTAGCTAAAATAAGAAAAAAGTGAGTTTCATAAGTCTCATATTGAATGGAAATAAATGAAAGATCTTTTTTATCACATGATTGCTTATTAAGTAAAAATTTTAGAAAACAGACATTTTCACTTCAAACTTGAAGCCATTGTGGCTCTTTATCTTCAATCGTTATAGTAAAGTGAAAATGTGACATCATTTCATTACCTAAACCTTAATTCAAATTAGATTGTATTACATATGTGTAATATCACATGAGAATAGTGACTGAATAACAAGACATCTGACGTATGTAATGTACAAGATGGTAGGGAATCAACGAATGTATTTGACTGTACACAAACATATGCTATAAAAACACAGTGTGATTAGAGGGTTAAAAGATAATAAAAATTTCAGAAGATGGTAACAACATACTGAAGTCCATTCAAAGTCATCAAAATGTTACACTTTAATCTTCTACAGGTGGTATTGTAAGAAATTCTTTTCTAATGACATTACCAACCATAAGAAACTGATACATAGATTACCTGGATATTGTTGAACATGTGCAATATATAAGATTGAAGATTTACTGTTACAGTTTATGAAACATTGTAACTTTAGTTATGGTCTTTTGCTTGCAGCTGCCAGTCCAGAACCTCAGCAGTCTCAGTGTTGGCCCTAATGCCAGTTTTGGATCCATTAATGCATCTCTGTCTCCCGGGATGTCATATTCTCAAAACCTGTCCTACTCCCCCGGGGTGTCCTTTTCCTCTCAGGGGCTAAATCTCTCCCAGGGTTCAGGTCTCCATAGCAGTTTAGAAAGTAGTGGTTTACGATCACGTCACTCTCTCTCCTCATTTAAACACTCACCAGGTAAGAAGATTTCACATATGTTTTAAAAGATTCATTAATACAGCTCTTGCCTTTGGTCGCAAATGACAAAAATGATAGTTGTTTGGCAATTTTAAATAACATTTGCAAACATTAAGATACATGTACCTGGGATTTCTTTACTTGTTTAAAACATCACCTTTCTTGTTTACATTTATTTATTTGAAATTTTTTTAATGGGGATGAGGGGGGTTATGAAAGGGACACCTTTTATGACAGTATAGTAATGATATACTTTCTGCTTACCTTCACATGTTTTCCACATTTCAGTGATGTCGTACGACCAGGGACAGATTACAGACCAGCATTCACTTACACAGTTCCTCAAGGAGCAGGAAGAGAAGGACAGCAAGAAAGCACTCAGTAAGTATGGCCCAGTTTTCATCTTTCCTCTACACCAAATTAGAGTGCTTGTTGTCATCCTTACATCTGTATTGACATAACATCTTACATTTTGTTTTGTAATGAGTATAGCCTTTGAATGTGAGTTACTGTTATGATTCTCCAGGACATGTCCTTCAAAGGAGTGGTGTCAGAAAATATTGGTACATATTTGTATTGGTTGATTTTAGGGTACAATGATGAACATGATACAGACTCATTTTCCACTGTTTGAAATGAAATATGCACACACTCAATTGCACTATTTTTTGCCAGTGAATAAGATGCTTTCTTTCTCTGTTCACTGTACAAACAACAGATTAAACTTCAGGACACCAATGCTTAATCTATGGTAAAACTTGTTGATCCAGCTCAAATTTTCAAAGTCAAATTTTGGAAACGTTTTGGATTCATTTTGGTCAAAAATCAAATGAGAGTCTTTGAAACCAATAGTGAGAAGGTTACTTTATAGTTGAGAATATCTGATGAAAGTTTCCAATGCAATTTAGTGAATTTGGCACATCATGATACAGGTATTGTGAGGTGTTCTCATTAAGATCAGGTTGATGAAACACAACTTGATTGGAAAGTTTGCTGCCATATTGTAAGTATCTGGTGATTTTATCAAATAACACGAATGTCATACTATGACCTGGAAGTAAACAGACATCAAGTCTGAGACCTTTGCAAGCAAGAATCTGATATATCTGTGGGTAAAAGATTTGTCATCTTGTTTCCATATTGTTGTGTCTCCTTGAGTGGGTGTTATTGTCCAACTTCAATTTCAATTTATCTAACATGTAAACCATTTAGAGAGGATGGTTGTTATTAACATTGAGCGACTGTGGTAGATCAGATGGTATGGCATCAGACTACCACAAATATAGGTCCCAGGTGTGTGGTTCATTCTGTACACCAGACAGTTTGTGTTTGTTAAAAACTTAAGATTACAAATCATCCTATACTGAGTTTGTTGTGTCCTTGTAGTATGTAGTGGACCTCCAGCATATTTAATGGTGCAGTCAAACGACTGACTGGGAAAGGTGTGCTACACCCATCAAATAGAAAACCAGTTAATTATGTAATGAAATTCATTGTCAATCAAGCTACTTTTCTTCATGGTAATATTGAAGGCATTGGATGGTAACACACTCGCCTTCACCTAGCCGTCTGGGGTTCGATTCCCGGAATAGATGTGAAAAGGTATGGGATCATCTGCCCGACCACATGGGTTTTCTGCGGGTACTCCAGTTTCCTCCCACACTAAAACCCCTCGCACGCTTCCATCCGTGCCAACAAGATTGATTAATATAAGTTAGAAAAACTTGCTTTGCTATTGTTGTAAAATAAATAAAGTTTATTATTATTATAAGGAATTGCTCTTTATTTACAGGCTCTCCTGATGCCACTAACACCGGTAGTACATCCTTCTGGAGTTATGGACGATCGGCCATGGATTACACTCATGTTCTTCGCAAATACATGTACCAGCTGGCCACCCGATCACCACAGTCGAGTACTGCTCGTAATAATGATAATGACCAGACGTCTTCCTATGGTGGTGATGATGTAAGTCTCCTCTTAGATGAAATATTTAGACCTCTCCATGCCAGGAATTTCCCTTGTTTCTGTTTTGCAACTTCACTGTATTTTTTGTAAATCTAAGCAGACTCCTTTATCCAGTCGCTACAAAGGGCTATTGTAGTAAAACATCTACATGACTTCAGGACTTCATATTAAATCACTTCTATTCGTGGTTCAGTTTACTATCAATTACTTCATAGATTGAATTCTTTGAGTGATAATCTTGATTTAAGCCAACTTGTCTGAAATGATTAGTCAACAATAAAAGAACTAGATAATGATTGCTTATTAAGGAGTTTTGCCTACCTGGTATTGTTTATGAAAAATTGTTTTTTTCCAATATGACACAAAATCTCTTTTTTTTACAACATTTGTGATAGTTTTACTTTAGAAATATGATGTTAGGCCCTTCTATCGGAATGGAAATAACATTGACTGATTTTGTAGGTGTGGAGTAAGCGAGGTGTGACAGAGGATGACCTTTACTTGTGGACAGAACGATTAAGGAAGGTCAGTAACCAGTTAAAAAGCAAGTGTGACCCTTGATCTGTGGTAGGCTTAATCACCATGATATGAAATTGTGTTTTCCTGAATGGGGTTTTGATTATGATTTTGTCACTATAGAAATCATTAAGATTTACATTTTTCATTTTTATGAAACATGGTAGGCTTAATCACCATGATATGAAGTTGTGTTTTCATGAACAGGGTTTTGATTTGGCGATTTGAATAAGAGTTATGCCCCTTTGCTGTTTGGATATTCACGGTCATATTTTGTTCCGCTTTGCGGTACTCTTGTTCTTTTTCATTTTGATGCCCTCCTTTGGGTCTGTTTACTGTGGTATCAGATTGTTAATGCTTTACTTCGATTGTTACAGTGGATGTGTCAAACTGTTGTGGCAAGGCTGGCCCTGGAAATCACCAATGCCAATGCAAAATTACGGAGAATCGGCTCAGAGGATACAGAGATTGGAGGTAATATTGAATTAAACTGTACTTAAAATCTGGAATATGCTTCAAAATTAAAACAGGTTAGAATCTCAACCCCAATTAAAAAACATTGATTGCTTGCCTTGGTGTTGGTACATCTTAACCTGTGTTTAGCATTCTTGGATACCTTCATTTTTATTTCCATGTTTGTGATGCTTTGAGTTCAACAGTCATTAAGTGTTACAGTTGTAACATATAACAGGGTTATTTTTCAATGCATAAATTTTTCCAGGTTGTCTCCTAATTTTGTCGTTGTAACAAATTAATTTCAAACCTAACATAACTCTTCTTCAATTAAAATTTAACAGTTAAATATTTCTCATGTATAACATAAATATAAACAATTAGACACTGGTAAAGAAAACTGTTATATAGTATTTGTTCCACCTACAGGCATACAGAAAGGTGACCTACATTGGTCTTCATTTCTTGTTGATAACTAACTGTAATTAGACTTTTATCAGGAGTGAGTTGGGCCATAAACTATTTTACGACATCATATTGACAATATATATAGTAATTTCAGCAATAACAATGGCAAATCAACATTATTTGTTCTTCGTGTCTTTAGGATTCTATTGTAACAATACCAGTGGATACACGTTAAGGCGACATATGTAGGATACAAACTTCTAGGTGCAGATCACAACAAATGAAGTGAGGGAGCTTGAGTATTTTGATGATCATTTTTTGCCCTTGTATTCACATCCTACACATTTTCTTTGTTACAGATTTTATGTTGTAAACTTATATTTAGTTGAATTGATTTATTGACAGAGGTGAGTGTGTCTACTCTTAAACAGCTGGCTCTGACGAAAGGCCCCATGCTGCCCACGCTCAACACCATTGTACCTTACCTTGATATATCGTCTAACCAGGAGTACCTGGTTCGAAGGATTCTAGGTAAGACATTTGGTATCCAGCTCAGTTACCTTGTGTAAAGGCTTAACCACGAATTATAAGCAACTTACACCAAGTTGATTTTCTACATATCAGTGTAAAAACAATAAAATATTATTGTCAAATAATAATTTTATCTGATGAAATAAATTTAACTGGTGAATACCTGTGAAATGCACTTTACTAGTAAATTTCAGCTTGATTTGAAAGTAATAAGCAAATGTAAAATTCTGATTTTATGATGTAAAAGTGTATTCGAAATTAAAATAACATCACTGAAATATCGATGTATGAACAGACCTAGGTAAGGACGGCTGTATGAGTGAATTTAGCTGGCAGGGTGGCGGCTGTTATGGGAAAGCCTGGGGTGAACACCTACCAACAGATGCAGCAGTAAGTTTGACCTCTCTTGTACATTCCTTCCTTATAACAATAATTCTAAATATTAAATATGATATTGACTCTCAAAAAAATTTTGATTCATGTGTTTGGAGGGACTTTTTTGCCACATATAATACTTCAGAATTGTGTCTTGACTTCAGAAATTGCCAAATGTCAACGTTCTACTGAATGACCTAGATTTGCCAATAGAAGTTATTGTGTAGGTCCACTGGAGTTCTTTAAAACTGTTTTACTCTGTCTTGATATTCAAGGCTAGCAGGCAAAACATGTGGAAAATTTTTGGAAACTTGGTATAAGGAGTTACTTCCCTTCCTTATACCTTGATTTTATCTAAATTTTAAGTGTGCCCTGTATACCTTATGGTATCCTCCTGGGGCATAGGAGATGAATTTCTGCTTATGTACATGTATAGTGTTTAGCTTTTGGTTCTTAGGAATTTTCTACACTCTTATTCATATTTATTGTATTGTTGACAGATTGTGATGCACCTGTTGTGTACATACTTGGACTCAAGGTTACCACCCCAGCCTAAATACCCTGATGGGCGGACATTCACCACCCAGTACTTTGTAAAAACACCTGACAAGCCTAGTAAGTGTTGTATTGTTATATGTAACATGTTTAGTGTCAATACATGTAGATAAGTCACAGACTGACATTTGCTGTATCAGAGGACCAGTTTAGATAAAACATTAGTGACAAAACCCTAACACTTCAATAACTACAAGGACAGTGGATGTCTTCAGACTTGTTTGATTCCAGTCACAAATTTCCTTATATTTCTCATCTATTGATAAATACTGACATACCTTGTCATTTTGTCGAGATATTTTGACAGGGTAAAGTAATTATGATAAATTATCAGATTATACAATTAGTTGGTCAGTTGATAAATACGGTAAGGCAGTCTGGAGTTAATTGAAGACTTTATTTGTATCATTCTTCCCACTTCAAAGTGAAAAATGGATTTTTCAAGAGTGCTTATATTGAAATCGTTTTATTCACATACAAAACATGTTTACAGACCTAGAGAGGGGTTATACTCTGTGGATAGAAAATTTCTAGCTCTCCATCATCAAATAAATGGCTGCTGAAATTGTCCCTTGTCAGTGTTCATAATATCTTTTTCTTGAGAGGTACTTGATCGCTTGTTGTAAATTCTGTTTACAGACCTAGAGAAGGATGACACACTGTGTATATACCAATCCTCTATCAACCCTCCACATTTCCAGGTGGTCACTGGTAAATCCATACTAAATCTGCCGAAGGTAAACACAGTCTGTTCCATGCTTGATTGTAATCAACGTTTTTCCTTCATAAAAGAAATACTCTTCTGTTATTGTTTTTGTTTGAGAATTTCTTATTAAGGTGGCTATTCAACTTTTTGGCTGAATATTTATTATTAGTTCGAGATGTCACAAGATCAAGGAACGGTCATTTGTTTAAAAAAAATCTGAAAATTGTTATATTTAAAGGTGTAATGGAAGGGGCAGTGCCCTCTTCCTACAGAACAAATCCATTTTGGAATTTGCTAGTAAGGAAGTTATAGAATTAGCCTATTTCTATGTAAACAACAAAATTTAAAATTTGATTGTGAATTATTTTGTTACAGGGCAGGAATAACATGTTTCAGGCATTATTGCTGTTTCTGCATCATGTAAAGACGAAAGAACATGGCATGTTGGGGTGAGTTGTAATGTAATTTATAGCTCAATATTGTTGATTGACTTTCATATGTAATACTACAAGCCATGTGTTTATTTCTCTAAAGCTGCTAGATCTTTTACAATACTCTTGACCGTGATTAAACATCTCTGACCCTTACATAACCATAGCATCATGCCATAAAGTTCAGTTACTGCATATTACATTTTAGTGGTCATCAGTTATGGTCAAAGGTCAGATTTTTTTTTCTAAAATAGAAAGAAAGATGAAAATTTTGAGAAATGACTACTTGGTATAAAGTCTTTATGGCTTTGGCTGGTTATTTTCACTTCAGATTTAAATGATGGCCACACTGAAACTAGTACTGTGAAAGTCCCTTGTCCATTCTCAGGATGAGTGATATTTTTGGCATTATTTGTTTAATTTGATTGGATTTTTAGAATTGAAAGTTATTTTATGTTTTACATTGTATCAGTATTTCCTTAAAAATACCATATTTACAAGGAGAGTGAGACGATTCATGGAATTATATTGACTTGTGTTGTACAAGTCAATTCTCTAGCCTTAGCACTAAAATAGCATCATACTTCCAGTTCCATCTTTGAAGGTTAAAAAAAAATACCTACAGTTTTGTATTACTGTATATTGGGTTAGGTTTACAATTTAATATTTTTGCAAAAATCTCCAAAATGAACCATTTCAAAAGTTTTGGCAAATTCATAGTTTAATGTTTCTGATGTGTAAGAAAAATGAGAAATTTGTAGCAAAAGTTTATACTCAGAGTTTACATATGGTTGTTATAAGCCCCATCATCCATTGTTACATTTGTCACAGAGAATACATTATCAAAGCTTTGACTGCTCTGACATGTGTGCATGATATGATAATTGAGATTTGATCATACTCTATACATATGTTTTGGGGCCACAAGTATTGAAGTGGTCCAAAACTACTGAAATATACACCATGCACATATAGCTGCCTTTGATATACTAGATATTATACATTTTACCTTTAAGAAGAAGAAATTTTATATAGTTTTATATGTGCATTTTCTTTCTTTTCCAGGAGAGTGAGTCTTGGAACGTCTGGAGTCAACATCCTGTGGATATTTAGCTGACCGGTAGTTCCAATGGGAAATTGGCTTCAGTATTTAGACATGTTATGATACAGCATGGATGTCATGTTGTTAAATGGAGATAACTCCAAGGGATTATGACGAAAGTATAATGGAAGGATTCATTTATCATAGATGAACATGATCCTTTGATCCAAAAGTGTTCCTGTGTTGAATAAAGGAAAATGGGTTTGGAGGTTATAACAAGATATTCGTTATTTGATCTAGTCTGGGTTATTATAAGATGATTTTACTGAAAAAAGATATTGTTACAGTCAGACTTTCAGTATATTACTGATTATTGAGTTCTGGATACTATTATTGTATAATAAAGATTCATGACAACAGTTACAATTGTAGTTAAAAATAATTTAAAAAAAGATTCTTCTATGCTTGTGTCTCGGGGCATTAGGTCATATGTTTTGAAATAATGTTGTTTAATATTGAGCATACCCTCTGGACTAGTGGAATTATTGGAGATAAACTGACCTGGAAGGATTGTAGGTTTTATATCGTGCATTATTGTGTCAAAATTGCATAAAGTATGAGCTGTGTCAACTGTTTCATTTCTGAATGGTCTTCAATTCCAATGAATTACCTCCATTTCCAAATGTATGTCAAAAAGACAATGGGAAATGACATCATTGTAAAACTTTGATGGCACTTTGCATAAAAAGTCACATAAAGGTACCAGACAGATTAAAGGAGATAAAAAATCTAGCACTGTTTATCATGTGAGATTTCCTTGCATGAGAAAAAGAGTCAGAACCTGATAAAATCATGCTGGTGATACTGTCCTGAAAGCTTTTACACGACTCCTGCATATTAAGATACCTGTAATCTCTTTGATCAAAAACTAACAGAATCCGCAGCAGCTAGTACTAGAACAGACTGGTTTTGATTAAGGTATAGCTTAGATGTATAATATTTGGAGGAAAATCTTTTTATATTAAAGGTGACCTTTATTTTGTTTGTACAAACAACCTGGTATGCAAGTATTTATTGATGAGTAGAGACAATGTTTAAAAGTACTCAAAAATCTTAATATTTGTTCCAATTAGTACTCATTGATCATACTAGGAAGTGTTTCAAGGATATCAAAATTGTATAGATTTCATAGATATTTTGGAGTTTGTATAGAACAGTCTTCAGTGTTGGGAAAATATGTGTTGACGATTTAGTTCTTAGGTTGAATGTGTTGACTGAAAGGTTTGAATGTTGAATGAGGATGTGTTGACTGGATGTATGTAAATAGTATGCTGGATTGTGAATGCTGATGTTTGGAATGAAATATACATTGTATGTATCAGATATGGAAGAGAGTGTGTAGTAATAAGCCCGATAAGTGGTCAGAATGTGTTGTTCTGTGTGAAATACATATTGAAAAATGTTGGTTTCTCATTTTTTTTTTAAATTTTTATTTTCACAGTGAGGAAGAGATTATTGAGTGTACAAAGATTAAAATATGACGAAAAAAAAAAAGAGAAAAAAAAAATGAATAAATTAATGAAAAAAATAAAATGAAAATTAAACCTCTCTGAGTTAAAGTTGTGTTTAATAGCTCATCAAATAAAAGGCAAGCCTCATGTTTGACAACTTAATAATCCCCCTCGTGTTGAGATCCCCCTGTCTCACCCTAAAGGGGGTGAAAGATTCTATTAATCCTATACGGTGATACAAAGTAGACATATACATACGACTTACCATACAGTGACACAAGGAGCTGCACATTTTTAGCCCATCATCATCAGATGGTTGGTTGTTCAAACCACCCTACGTCCGAGGTCCGGTTATCACTATTTCTTGAAAAGTAGTAGATGGATCTCTTTGAAATTTTATGTGTAGGTTTCCCTTTAGTCTCTAGTTGTGCCCATCTGATTAGGGACTTATTAGAAATAAACAAAATGTCTGACAGGTGGCTATCTTGGATTTTGACTTTGCAAGATTTTTATCGCTGTTTAATTTGAAATACTGGATAGATCTTTCTTGAATTTCACATATAGGTTCCCCTTGATCCCTCGTTGTGTCCATTTGAGTTTAGAATTTATCAAAAAAGATGGCCGACATATGGCCATCTTGGATTTTGATTTTGAAAGGTTATCGCTATTTCTTGAAAAACACTGCACAGAGATTTCTCAAATTTCTTAAGTATGTTTCCTTTGGTCTCTTCTTGTGCCTGTTTGATTTTAGGACATATCATAAAACACGAAATGCCCATCTTGGATTTGGCAGGGAAAGATTATCAAAGAATGTTTAAATTTCTTATCATTGAGAGCAAAGATGGAGAAGAGAAATGAGGGAAAAAATCCAACTTTAAAAGCGCAAATAGAGATCAAACAATAGTGGGCGCCGATATCTCTCTGGGATCTCCTAAGTTGTCAGTTTATTAAAACCTGACCTACGAGTTGATGCTAAACATCCACTAGCTCACCCCTTGTAATCTCAAATAATTGTGCGTAAATAGCCTGCCAGGATTGGAGTGACGTGTGATCAGTTTTAATGTTATTTGTAACAGTCAATTCAATTTGAAATCGAATTGCGGAAAATACTAACAGACATAAAGTACACAGAGGTCTTTGACAAAAAGTGATATGTAGAAGAAGGATAGTAATATCTTCATTGACGTCACTCACAATATAAAGAGAAGACAATCTACGAGAATGCCGATGATAGATGTTTAAATCCATTCAAATAATGGCACGGTTAAGAACTTCCTAAATAATCAGGTATTTGAAAATTAAGGAAATGTTTATACATTTTGGGGCTAGCGCACCTCTTCATATATATTTTGATAATTCTTTTAACCAGTTTTTGTTTTCTTAAGTCCCCTCATAGGTTTCATTGTTTTTGTTCAGTTACCAAATGTTACACGCCAAAGGCAGCACTTCGTACAAAGAGTATAAGCAGGTCAGTACAATCTTCACGGTTTTTTCATTTTTAGGTAGTACATGTTACTACTGATATCAGAAATATATTATTGATGATGAAAATTGCCCAAATTCACAGATCTTTCCAAATGAGGTTCATAAAATCGTCCCAATTACATTTTATAAAATTGTCCCAATTACAGTTCACAAAATCGTCCCAATTATCGTTTACAAAATCGTCCCAATTACAGTTCACAGATCTTTCCAAATGAGGTTCATAAAATCGTCCCAATTACATTTTATAAAATCGTCCCAATTACCGTTCACAAAATCGTCCCAATTACAGTTCACAAAATCGTCCCAATAACAGTTCACAAAATCGTCCCAATTACAGTTCACGAAATCGTCCCAATTACGGTTCACTTGATTTATGTTAACTGTTACTGCCTTAAGGTGTCTGTAACAACAGCACATTCTAGACAATGCCAAAAACCTTGGTGTTGAGATCACTACACTACTCGGTAATAGTTGTTTCTCAATTCCCAACAAACATTTAGATTATAACAGTAACAAGGATATTTAAACATTTATTATCTACAATGTCTGTCAGATATAAACCTCTTTGTAATTCATACCGTATATGGTATATGTATATTTCCTTTTCCGTACAGCAACCGGGCTTTCCTTCCTGGCGTATGGCTTGAGCTGACATGTGTAAATAAGATGAATTATATTTTGAAGTGTATCTGATAAAGGTAATATGTCTTGTTTGTTTTAGGTTTCTACTGTTAGTGAACAGATACAGATGCTGAAGTGTGTAGTTGTCATCTTAAAAACTAAAATAATGTAAGGTTCCTTATTAATATTTTGATATTATTATATGTATGCTAGATAACACATGTATTTCATAATTCAGGCAAAATCTTTTACACGTTCCGTGTTCGTTATAGTTTGAGGAAGGAATGGATTTGACAGGCAGAGATCTGTACAGGAGACACCTACGACTTGTGAAGACGGACAAGCTGCTCCAATCCAGTCTGAAATGGTATGATAATCTCGGACTATTTGATGACATCAGAAATGGCCAACAGACCGTAAAGATACAGAAGTTTGCACGTGACACGAGATTAAAACAAAAGTAAGATTTTCGGCAGTTATTTATAGTTCAATTGTTTAAAGGAAAAAACAGAAATATTTCACGTGTACTGTTTTTATTGTATACTCTAACAGAGGAACGGAAACAGACAGGATTTTAAAGGAACAAATGATGTTTATTTCATTAAGATAATGGATGAACACAGAAATGTTCTGTGGATTCATACGTGATCCCCATTGATTAATTTCAAAACCATGATTATATTCGTGAATTACTTATCGTAAGGATAGTCAACACACTTCAGTCTTGTGTAGAAATACGTTTGTAAGAAAATGCTGTATGCCAAGAAAAAAAATTGTTAACGATTCTTAATTCCTTTTAAAGTGTAAAACATACTGAAAAATCTTGGTGCTCAAGTCAGCACCAAGGGCATGTTTAAAGCATTTGGTGTTATAATTTGTTTTCTTATACGTCACAGCTACGTATCCGCTATCGTCCAGTCATTAATCGTGTCTCATGTGTTTGAGCCTGGCTGTTACGGGGAACTTGATATCCCTGGGAATTATGCCGAGGACTTGATCAACACCATTGATGAATGTGCTATAGCGCCCGAACATGAAGATGTCGTCGGTAACATGTATGCCTGTGCAAGGATCGACGGCGAAGAAGGTATACCTGTACATGAGGTCTTATTTCCTTCCTGTTTTCGACTTAGTTTGTAGATGTGTTTTATGCTTGTAAGTTTGTCTGTTAGTTCCGTTAATGTATATCTTTTTTCCTCATTTGAGAACGTGGCTTACATATCTGGCGTCGTCGATTAAGCAGAAGACGCTAACTCTTACGGAGCACCTGGTTTTATTTTCCTTGTACTTTTTTCAGTTTTTTTTTGTAAATATTTCTTTTGTTGATATTTTGCTCTAGTTTTATAGAATTTGAATTTGGATTATGTTGACCTGTTGGCATTTCCTCGTACCTGAAATCTAAACATTTTTTTTATAGCAGAACAATACCTGTTTTGTTATTTTTGATATATTCGTGGTAGGTCCAACATGGTGTAAATACTGCTATATGGATTAAATAAAATACAAATGAATTGTTTACTTTTCCATAAAAATGTTATTTTACATTACTGTTTTTGCGTTCTATAATGTAGGTTACACACCAGACGAACGATCCCTTGTGTGGCGAGCACTTGTTTTAGACGGGGCACTGAAGCTGATCAAGGACACTATTGACCAGAGCGAAAGTAAGAACAAAAAAGAAATTGGTGAATTGTGTAAATGATCACGAACGGTCTTCAAACTTTAATCAACGTAAAAGGTATTATTTGTATGAATTCTCTTTCCATTTTTTTCTAGATTGAGACCGATTTTCTACACAATATCAATTAGAATATATAATTGCTCTTTTTATATGCATTCCTTAGGAGGACTTAGAACATTGATGGACATTAGCTGCGGTCAAGGAGATGTTAGCATCAGACTGGCGAAAGAATTTCCAGCAACAGCAGTTAACGGTTGTGATATGTCTCCGAGTAACATTCAGCGCTGTAACGAAAAATCAGATGGTGTGGAAAATATTTCATTTTCTACCGTCACAAATGTCATTAAATTACCGGCAAACTGGAACAGGACGTATGACGTGGTCACATTGCTCCAAGCTGATCCTCATGACAAGACAAATACCAAGGATATGATTTTGGAAGCCGTGCGGATTTTACAGGATGATGGATTTCTAATCTACATCGAACCGGAAGTTGGTTACAACCCACGTGACAACAGATTCCCAGAGTCTGCGTACGACCATGCCATTTCGTTTTGGTATCGTTTACCAACTGGACAAGTAGGTGTCCCTGAGAGCGAATACCAGGTAGATAATACTGAGAACTTCCTCAGCGATTGTGGACTAAGAGTGGAAGGCCATCATTTGATTCATTGCAGTTTACGGAACCATGCCTTTGTTTGTGTCAAAAGAAGGTAGATGATATAATTTTCGTCAATACCTGAATATATCAACCAATACGTTCAATCTACTGAGTTATGATGACTCAGGTCACATTCCATATAAACTGCGGAAGTCATTTCTATATGTGGTTTTCATATCTCTGTTTGTAATGACTTCTAAAAATATCCAAAGTGTTATATTTCCGAGCATGTAATCACAGGTTTTTTTCTCTGTTTAGAGAAATATTTCCTAAATAAAAATTAAGAAAATTCATGAAATAAAAGATTTCAATTTTACTAAGCAATTAGTCATAACTGTTAGTTTTCTTCATACCAAGCATGCTATTCAATATGAATGTGCTTACAGTCCAAATTGAAACGAAATGTGTTGTAAAGATTTTTGTTCATATCCTTGGTAATATATGCAGTAACAGAAATGACATGACATCGTTTAAAATTTTTAATTGCTTAAGAAATTGGACAATGGCCTTGCAAATCCAAATTTTAGTTGTTCACACGAGCTTTTAAGAAGGTTTTTATATCTCCCCAAAGCGAAACTCATTCTCTGATACGAAAACAAGAACAGTACTTCTAAATGTTAAATGATTATACTAACGACCATAACACTTAAGACAATGATACACATAAGGAGAAATGACCGAGGACAGGATATAATCCAGTATAAAATAAATTCCAACGTAGTGTCATAGACTTTTCTATTTTGATATACTTTGTTACCAATAGTAGTATATTAAAAAAAAAAAAAAAATGGAGCGCTGATATATGGCATTCTGAGGATTTATTTGTTGTGGTCTATATATTTTGTGAAGGCGTTGTTGACGTCGTGATTTGGTTTTTAGAGTTAACAATTTCATTTTTTCCCGTTGCTAGGATACTTCTCTAGAATATAACGCTGGTAGTTTTTGGCAGCATTCATGAATTTTCACCACGAATCATAGCCTTTATTTGAAAAATGTGATTGTTTATTTGATATGTCATCTTTTAAAACTTCATGGCCCCAAAAATGGATATTTCAGTCTGTTTCTTGATTTTTGCAAAGAGAATATTTCGGTAAAATTTAAGAAAAATGTTAAATTTCAGAACTTCTTCAAATATAGGATTTAAGTAAATATTTTTCGGTTGCTTTGGAGATTAGCGACTGTGAAATAAAACTGAAAATTAGCATTTCAGGTTATTTTATGCTTACCATCCCAGTATCACTCTATTGCATTTTAATCAAAACACATTAGAAACAAGGATTGCCTAGGGGAAAAACATATATCTTATTACACACATTCCTTTAGCTTCATATATCCTTAAGGAATCCTATATATCTTTCTATTTGGAGACGTATGATATCTGAAATAGGCTATACATAGAGCGAATTTGTTTGATGTTTGTTTCATTGGCTTTAAAACAATTATCTTACCTTTATCACAAAGGTTATACCTCTCCGAACCAATCAGTGAATTGTTTAGTGGTAGCCTCTTAAGTATAGTGTAGCCCATCCGGCTATTCATTAGATTCGCAAGTTCTACAGCTAGCTTTGTACTGTTGAGTGATGTACAATAAAAACATAGAGTTAAAAACCAGAGATAAACTCTATGAGCTAAATGCGCCGGAAAACCTTCAGACGCAAAAATTCAGCTTATCAGAGAAAATAACTCGATGTAGGATAAATTTTATAGTATATCATAAAATAACTTAAAATCTGACCGCTCGTGTTGCAGTCCTAGGTTACAATGGCCCTATATATACCTGTTATACATATGTACACCTTGTGGCCTCTACTACACGTGGCACGACAATATGCACCTGCCAAGTACTTATCTTACCTTATACTACCACATGAATATTCATAATACCATGTCCCTATTTCACCGCCATATAAGGCAGAGGTATGATTAGATGGTATTTTTGATATACGAAACGAGGAAAAGATTGATTATGCTTGTGTCTGTGTTTGAAATTCAATCATGCACATATCACGTGTAGTCATTAACGTGTATAAATGTGTAAGTAAGCACATATTCTGTTTGGTCAATTCCTTAAGTTCTTAATCACCGCCCTTTACAATGGCGTCATAATATGTATCTATCGCTTAAATCGATTCTTTCACATATGTAAAAATTACCGTAGGCAAAAGACGGTGGTATAGTTGAAATATATTGTAACGTATACGAGAAAACAAATATTTTACTAACAAGAAATTGAGTAATAGATTAAATGTAATTGAGGTACAGCCTCCAGCTACGTCAGTAATGGGCTTCTTGGGCACAAAAGGAGAAACTGGTTTTATTGACATGTCTTGGCTTATGTCAAAACAGGGTCACCTACAGTGTAATTGTACTTTTACGTATATACAAATACACGGATTAAACTGAAAATAATTAGATAATAGAAATTTAGACCTTAAATGGAATTGGAAATCGCTACAGTTACACGTATCGAAGATGATATAAACTATTAAAACACATAATCTTAACGGAATCTTTATTCAAAATAAAATAAGAGCTAAATATGAGAATAAGTTTTCCGTAAGGGTGAGCGTCTTCCTTATATTGGTCAATCCAAGTAAGCATTTTCACTTTCTCAAATTATAACAAGGTAAACAGCAACGGAAATAATAGACACACAACAAGCACAACGCGTTAGGCTTCATATTGCTCAATAAAATATTTTATTTTCAATTGAAATATTTTCTCATAATTTTCATCAATCTGCATCACTCGAAACCAGATTCTGTGAGTTTTTCTGTCTGTTGCCGAAGTTTTGTACGGAAATCATGATATTAGGAACAAGTCATTGAATATCAAAATCAACTGAGGCATGTTAACATCAAAAGCTTGGAATACAGGATTGTTACTGACCTGAAATAGAAAATTCATACAGCTCTTTGAAATGCTGTCCCTGTTGGTATGGTTTTCGGAAAGATGAAAGGAAGGGGTTGATATAGAAGAGTGTCGTGTCCTTAATTTCATATTCCTGTGTGTATATGATTGGCAGGACCGATTTATCTTGTTATTTAAAGAAACAATTTGTCATCAATACATCCGAAAGTGAAAAAGAAGGGCTTTGCAATGTCTTGGTGACCTGTTTTGATAATATCGTCGATAAATTTAGCCAGTTAATAGAGGGTGTTTATGTGTAAGCATTTATGGCCAGCATACTTACCTAATAATACAAAGACAGATTTTGTGGGTTTTTTTTTATTATACTCAGTTCAATGTTTAAAAAGACATTTAAAGTCAGATGCAGAAGTATGAAAATGTCATAGATAAATAGAAAGTTATTGAATCGTTTTACAATGAGTGTTATATAATCTTCATGTTTTTGACACAACTTTGATGCACCAGTCAAGTATAATTTACGATTTTTTATTATACTCAGTTCAATGTTTAAAAAGACATTTAAAGTCAAATGCAGAAATATGAAGTTGTCATAGATAAATAGAAAGTTATTGAATTGTTTTACAATGATTGTTATATAATCTTCATGTTTATAACACAACTTCGGTATAATTAACCAAAGAACAATATTTACAATTACAATAGCAATAGAATATCCATTGTAATAGAATAATATACGTTGTTTCTTTCTTAAAAGTCGAATGTAAACTTTTACAGTTAAATTTTATAAGAAATTTAAAAACTTAATTCTAAAAAACAAAAATGATTTTGTTAGTCAGCTAAAAGTCAAATGAGCGAACTCTTTATAGCGAGTACCCATAGCTTAAACTGAGAAAACCTGTCTCATTTGTTAGTTATTTACATTTGGACTCAGAGCTCCATAGTTACTTCTCTTCATTTGAGACTTTACGTTGAACAATCGCCATAACTCAGAATGAATATGTTCAGTTTGTGTAATTACACCTGTGAGGTTAAATGTCGGCAGAACGTTTTAATTCTTAAGGCGGAGATAAATTGTTTCATTAAAGGTACACAACTGAAAAGAAAATCGATTCTCCTTTCACCTAATGTGGAGAAAAGTAAAAGTCAATGCCTATTTTCATACAGAATTAAAATAACAGCTTTATCCCACACTGGCAGGCCTATTAAACGTAACACAGCAAGGTTAAAGTAACATGCTAAAACCTTACTCAATAAAACAAGACGGTAAAGCATTTTTCTTGTCTACATTATAATCCTAAGTTGATAAGGAACTAACACTTAGCATGTCCCCGGAATTAGTCATACACATAAAAAAGAAAATACCGATATGTCTAATGCAAACTCCTATTCCATGAAACAAACGCAAAATATAATATAAAAACGAGAGAGAGAAAAATATAAAGATTTCGACCGAGACTCATTGAGAGTCAATGGAAATAAACCAAATGTCCCGGAAGGGTGATCGTCTTCTGCTTCATATCATCGACGGCACCTGCCATATAAATGATAATACTAAAAAGCGACATGTCAACTGAATCTTAAAGCTCAAAATATCCATATGTCAACATAATCATAACCCAAATTAACTAACACTGTTGGTTTCGTTGTAGGAAAAGATCGAGTTAAGCGGCTGATGAAGAAGTCTTTCGTGTCATTGATTTCCAATTCTTGGGGGAATATACAGTGGACATGGTAGCTGCGTTTCTTGTAATTTAAAGTAAAGATATCACCAATACAGGTCTTTGTGACCTTTTTGGGATATAATAAGTCCTGTAGAAAATATAACCGTTAGATTTTTTCAATAGAGTGAGATATTGACGACAAGCGAAATGAACTACTTGATCATCCCTACAGCTGAAATGAGATGTTCGTTTTACAGGTAGTCTATGTAGTTATTCCTATAGGTTAAAAGGATACTTTATAAAATGTATGTTTGCCCACCTGCTCAAAGGAAATGTGCAAGTAATGCAGCATGCGTATCCGACCGCAATAGAAACTAATTGTATTGTAAAGGTATTCTAGTCAGTTTAAATAACGATGTACAATGTATTAGCATTTTAGTAAATTTAAACTCATTTTGAAGAGAATTTTAACCCACTGTAAATAGTAGTAAAGTATTTCTTTATCTAAATATGAATCTTGGCTA